AGAAGAACAGAGAGTGAAAGCAATGGTTGTGAGAATACATATTTAACTCCATAGCTAGAAGCAATGATTGTAAGAACACAGATTTTCAATTTGTCATTGCGTTCAAAATATGTACAATACGCGATACGTAGGGTAAAACTTAAAAACATGGACCATTTTTTGTAATAGTGTGAAGTAATATATTTTCTTGTAATTCGTTCAATTTAAAACGCACGAGATTTGAGAATAAATACATGAAATTTTTGTAGGATTTTTTTGTTGTAATAGGTTATATTGAACAAATACATGAAATTTTTGTAGTATTCTTTTTGTTGTAATAGGTTATGTTGAACCATTTCCTTCTCATACTTCCTTCATTTCATTTAGATGTCTTTCTAATTTTCCTTTTTGAAATAATGTCACCTTTTGCATATAAGTTGTCAATATTTTTATTTATTTTTAATAAAATGTTTAAAATAAAATATTTCGGAAAAATATTTTTGGATTATTATATATTTTAATTTTATTTTTAGTATAAATACCATAAAATTCAATTCTTTTTGTTTTTTTAATCAATTTGAATATGTTTTAAATTTTTAAATTTCGTATCAGATCAAACTAAGACAAATAAAAACGTAAATATTTTCACTATCCAGTGCATCAGCACAGACAGCAAACAAAATCTCAAATTTCTATAGGAAGACACGCCAACACTTTTCTGGTAAACGTGGACATCTCCCTTTGTAGCCAAAGTAACCACAAAATTACAAGTCAGCAGGCTTCAACCGCAGTCATACTGTATACCACAGTACCAAAGTAATAAGTTTCCCATCATAATTAGAAGCCGCTTTTCGTTTACAATTAATTAATCATCCTTTCTCAATAAGTTTAGTTTTCTAATCTAATATTATAAAGGTGAGAGTTAAAATATCAGTCACAATTCACTAATTCGGCTTTTCTAACCTAAAAACGTGACAAACATTTTGAAACAGATTGATATTTCTTCCGGTTCACAATAAGTGTTTAATTTGCTTTTTTATTTTGGTTTAAAATAAGTGTTCAGTTATGTTATCAAGAAAGAATTCAATTTATTTTTACAAAATAACCCTTATGTAAATATTCCTAAAAAAATTTCTTACTCCTCACATTAAATGTCTAATTAGGGGTAGTTTAGTCATAATAAGTATTTTTGTATAGAATTTAGTATTTTCTTAATGAGCGTGCTAAAAGCAAATTGGACACTTATTGTGAACCGAAGGGAGTAGCATGTTTGGTCAAGGCTTTTCTTAAGTACTTTTTATCCGGTTAAAAATATTTTTTTTAAGTTAAGGTGTTTGAGGGAGAAATTCAAAAATAACCAGATTTACAAATGGTCGTTCAAAAATAGCCCAGTTTCAAAAGTAATCGAAATTTAGCCACTTTTCATGTAAAGATAAATATGAACGAAAGCACTATTCAAAATTCGGAAAAATACTCCGGCATAGTATACTGGAGTTCCTGTATGATATACTGGTCATAATATACTAGAGTTTGGAGCACCGGTGCTCCAGTATATTATACTGGAGCCAGCAAAGTATACCGGTCCAGCATAATATGCTGGAAGTTCATACATAGGTGCACCGAACTCCAATATATTATTCTGCACCGGTCTCTGTTGGAGCAAAATAGTGGCTATTTTTCATTGGCTTGGTAAACGCTGGCTATTTTTGAATGACCAGTCCGAAAACTGGCTAGACCGTGCTATTTTTACGGTATTTGACCAAGAGCCCGATTGGATTGACTTTAAAAAAGTGACTTTTTAGCATAAATGACTTTTAAGCCAAATAGGAATAAGTTAGGGTTGCACCGTATTGCTTTTGGCTTGTTTTTAGCAGTTTAAACTTATTTCAAACACTTTATAGCTTTGCCAAACACTAAAAAAAGATAAAAAGAGCTTAAAAGCTGATTTGACCAGCTTAAAAGCCAATCCAAACACCTTGCAAGTTTTTTTAAAAAAGTACTTTTAAATAGAAGTAGAAGCTATTTTTAAAAAACAGAAAAAGATAATTTCTCCCCGAAAATACTTTTTCGAAACTCACTTTTAAAAAAAAAATATATATTTAAAAGCATTTTTTAAAAGCTTCGAAAAATACTATTATCGTCAGTAGTTATTTTTAAATTATTTAGTCAAACACAAATTATTTCTTACTAAAAATACTTTTAGAAAAGTACTTTTTAAATAAGTTGATTTTAAAAGCTTAACCGAACATGCAATGGGTGTGTCACTTGTTACACTCTACATTGCCTAAGCTCATTTTATTCTTATGTTAAATTCATGATAAAGTAGGCCGTTTTGTGATTAAAAAGTTCTGAAAATGTCACAGTTACGCAGAAATAATAAAGATTTCGACAACCTTATCAAAGATTCGACAATCTTCAAGAACATTAAAGAGCATGCAATATAAATTTAGGAATAATTCCATTCCTCTACACACTACCACTAATAATTAAAAACCTGTAAATAATTAAAAGATGATCAGCAAAGTACAGAAGACTCAAGAAAGGAATAGATTGCTTTCTTGACAAAAACATTACTTTAAACCGATGCTCTAGAGGAAGGCAATGAAATTTTGGATGCATCGAATGCCATGCCATGGTTGGCTTTCAATGTTAGAAATGCCATAACTCTCTTTCTGAATGTCTCGACTTTCTTTCTCAAACCACCGGACAGGGGTGCGGAAATAGCAACAATTAATGGTAGAGCGGAAATTGCTTCTGATTTTATTTCGCCTGAAACGAAGAGAGGAATAAATACCTGGTCTATAATTTTGACAAAAGGAGGACCGCTATTGGGAAATACGATCGCGCGCAGTAACTGGGAGTCCTATTACACCTAAGGCCAACTTCAATTCACCAAACCAAGGTTCATCTCGTGTAGTCATTGTGGACTCGTACAAAGATATTGAGTAGACGGTTGATGTATCAGACTCGAACCTATCTTTCGTAGCATGCATTCCCATCCGTGTCGCAACTGATTCGGTAAGCTACGTGTCCGGTGCACGGAGGCAACCTTCGCATTTCCTGCTGAGATCCCAAGTCTCCAAGTGGGCCCTCTTGGCCACCCACGACCTTGGCTTTTTAGAGAATCCCGCTCCTGTGTCGTAGGACTTTCCGCTTGGTAGTCCACCTAATAAAAGTTGGCTTGAGCTTCAATGAACGTATCTTAGAAAAAAGGTACCCTAGTCGCCCCGGTGGAATGCATTGAAGAAAGGAATCCATCCTTGAAAACAGCTTTTCAATTTAATTAATCACTATCTTTATAGTGTTATAACGCATCAGATCTGTCGTCGCCTAAAAAATAAATTAAAATAAATATTTTTTTTTATATATATACACATTATGTATGTTATATATGAAAATTATAAATTTTATATATTTTTCGGCTATCAAATATAAATAGTTTTTGACGCTGGTTAAAAGTGAAAAAAGTCCATAATAAAGAATAGTATAAAAAAAAAGGGATTTTTTCCTAACTATACCATATATGAAACTTTATTACCAAAAATGTGCATAATTTGTTAATTACCCGCCCAGTCCACACTTTAACTACAATTTATATACCAATCCATAATTAGGCAGATTCTGCCATTTAAAACGCGCGAAAAAAAGGCACAAAATCTGCGTTTGATTCTTTCCACATTAAATTCGAAATTTGAAACGGAAAGAGATCTGATTGCTGCGTAATTCTCTCTTTCACTACAATTCAAAAACAACGCAGAGCTTCAGAAGCTTCAACAACGCAATACAAATTGTAGAATTCAAAATTGTTCTTCATCGTCCTCAGTACTCAAATTGTCGAACCTATATATGTTCTTCATCTTTTTTCTCTCAACTACACAAAATCATGTCAAAACTCCCAATAATGCTAAAATTGAATGGGAATTGGGATAACTATGGCAGATTTAGAGATTTTGAAGTTGATGCCATTGTGGTAGATGAGAATGCAGGTTTGTGTAGTTCGAAAATGCTTAGAATTTTAGTTTTATGATATTATCTACAAATTTACTACATATATCTACAATTTGACTACAAGTTCTTTATTTGGTGCAGGAAAAAAATATTTTAATATACAGTGTCTCCAGATTGTAGATAAATTGTAGGCAAATTGTAGTTTACTTGTAGTTTGTAGTTAATTTGTAGATAAATTGTAGATAAAATGTAGATATATTGTAGATACTATATTTTTAATATTGTAAATTTTTTTTCTTTGTGTTTGTTCTGAAAATGTAGGTGAGGGCTTCAACGGATCATATACATACTGTGTTGGATGGTGTGAAGCGGTGCATTGTGTGTCTAGAAAACAAGAATGTAGTTGTGGCCAATTCCAACTTGAAGAACTTCCATGTGTAAATTGTTTCGAGATTGTAGTTATAATGTAGGTTAAATGTAGTTAATTTGTAGTTTTTGTAAAATTTTATAGACAATTTGCAGATTAATTGTGGATAACACATTTCTACGATTGGAGTATTTATTTTTTATTTTTTGTTGTGTAATTTATATTCAACTGACAGTTATATATAAATATTACATAGAACTTGGAGGTAAACATCTAAAAATTATGATAAAAAGCTACAAAATTTATATACAATAACTACATTGAGTCTTCACACAATGTAGATAGTTTGAAGATTATTGGCGAGGGAGATTTACGTCAAGGATTAAGGCGAGAGAGATGCAAGCAGAAAATTGGAGGGAAGCTGGAGGTAGTGAAGGTAAAACGTGGGGGGTGTGGGGGGGTGGGATGAGAGAGAGGCGGGTAAAGGTAAATATGAGAATATACGCTCCTAAATTAACGCCTAATATAAATGAAGCATTAATTATACCCCTAACTTGAATTATGGTATATAAACGGTAATTTGGCATGCTGAAATGTAATTAATACAAAACTTAAACATTGAGAGTAATAAGATTTGTATAGGAAGTTAAAAATTCCTATAAAAAAAATATAAGCCTAACTTCCTAATCAAAATTCTGTTGTCCTCTTCCCTTGGTCCCGCGGATTCCTTCCTTTCTTCCACTCACGACTCCAATATTTTCTCTCCAAAAAAACAAAAACCTTCTTTCTTTCTAAACAATTGATAGCAAAAAAGCATAAAATCGAAAAAAAAAACATCTGAATATTTGTTTTAATTCTTGAAAAACAAATATGGGTTTGTTGGTGGGGTTCTTCTTAGGTGCTGCATTGGGTGTTGGTCTGATAGTTTGTTTTGCTCGCTTTCAAAATAACAGATCCAAAGCTCGCATTGATTTGGTACTCTTTTCTAATTTATTGGATTTATTTTCACGTTGGAATTGGTATTTTGTATTTTCTTGTAATAATTTGGTGTTTTTGATATTTTGTTAGGCAAAAGCTATAGCAGCATTTGCCAGGATGACAGTTCAAGATTCAAGAAAGCTTCTTCCTCCTGAAGCATACCCTTCTTGGGTTGTCTTTTCACAGAAGCAAAAGTTGAGTTGCATTTTCTGTAATTTTTTTTGGGCTTATATATAGGTGTTATTAAAAGCATTCAATTTGCTAATAATGGTTGTTGTATTTCCTTTTTGTTAATTGCAGTTGAATTGGCTTAACCAGCACTTAGAAAAAATCTGGCCTTATGTTGATGAGGTAATTGTGTTTTTGAATCTTTAGCATACCTTTTCTTGATTAAAAGTGGCGGAACCAGATAGTCGGGCTAAAACAGCCCAAAGATACTCTTTATGATATTGTCCACTTTGAGCCAAGACTGCATGGTTTTCCCAAAAGGCCTCACATCATCAAGAGTATCCAACTCTTCATAAGTAGCTTATTGTTATTTCTACTTTTCATATGCGACTTTGTTCAACACACGTCCAATAATTTTCCTCTTGAACACATTACCCATCATCATTTATGGGCTACTTTGGAGATTAAAGACGATAGGGGTACAAGTAGTAAACCAGTCCATAAAAAGGCAAAGACACTAAGTCGGCCTTACACCATCACTCCACCATCTTCATACTCGTCGTGCCAAACTATTGGCTCTGATACCAGTTTGTAATATGCTAATTGGCTTTACAAGAAAAGGATGTTTTTTTTCTTTATTATAAAATCCTAACTCATTCTTCGTTGGCAAATAGGCATGTGCCTATAAGAAAGGTGTGCTTGGCAGAGATTTATTCTCGGCTACCAAGTTTGAATAAGTGTGGAGATCTCTTGCAAGTTGGCAACTTGCCTTTGTGAACTTGCAAGACTTAGTTCAATTTCTCCTATAAATACTCCTGCTGTTCTCCTTTCTTAAACACACCAATAATTCAAGAGTATTTATTCTCTTGTCTTTCTCTCCTCCTTTATTGAGAGTATTTTGTAAGAGAGTGAGTGTTGGGAAACACTTGTGTGAACCCTTTTTTTGGAGTGATCTTGTGAGGTCATTCTCTTGGGGTGTTTGGATTATTTAGAGTATTTACTCTAATTTTGTACTCTCTTTTTTGTACTCTTGTCAGTATAGTAAAATTGTTTCTCTCTGCTTGTGGACATAGGTCACCTTGACTGAATCACGTTAAATTTGTGCCTCCTTTATATCTTCTTTAATTGCCATTATTATTAACTTGCATTGTCTTTGTTATTGTCATTATAACGTTGTTTGGCTAAATTTCACACTACCCGGGTTCTCGATCCTAACACAGTTGTTAGGCTAAACGGCCCAAAGATACTCTTTACATAGTGTGATATTGTCCGCTTTGGGCCAAGCTCGCTTCTTCCCCAAAAGGCCTCACACTATCAAGAGTATCCAACTCTTTATAAGTAGCTTATTTTTCTTTTCTACTTTTCATATGGGACTTTGTTCACACATTCAACAGAATCCTGACAAGGGGATTAAAAAAATGAAAACTTGCACAGCCAGTAAATAACTTAACTCTTTATATACACCAAAAAATTATCTTCACCTTATTTGTACAGTTTAATTTTCGACGACGGGAATTCAAGTGAACTCCCTTCAACACACTTAGCTCCGCCATTTCTTGATTGGCTTTTACTGTTTTTTCTTGTCTCATTTTAAGTTTGTGTCAATTCTTGGCTTAGGCAGCATCAGAGTTGATAAGAACATCTGTTGAGCCAGTTCTTGAGCAATATAGACCATCTATCTTAGCTGCTCTCAAATTTTCGAAGCTCACATTGGGTACTGTTGCTCCATCCTTCACAGGTTAGTTCAATACTTGCTGCATATTTTGACATTAAAGTAATTGCTTTTATAGGTCTACTTTTAATAGCTTAGCTTTGAGTTACTGAGAGATTTCTATTCCTTATGAAGTTACCAATTTGTTTAGATGATATAGTTTTTTTTTCTTTACACTAATCGCCAACCTCTACATATGAATTAGTCCTTGAAACCGATAGAAATTTATATGGTCTTCAATGTTGTATACGAATTTTCATGGTGCTTGGTATTCTGAATTTTAATATGGATGTAAATTTGCATAGTCAACCCTATAAGTGGTAGCAGTTTTTTATGCTTATAGCCATTAACTTCCCCCGTGTTTTTCGATAGGCTAGCCATCCACTTCCTATCATAAGCAAGTTATTAATCTTGGAATAATTTAACCCTGACATCTCCTTTTTGTCTTTCAGGAGTTTCTATTATTGATGGTGATCCTGGAGAAATTATTATGGAATTGGAAATGCAGTGGGATGGAAATCCCAATATTGTGCTCGATATTAAGACTTTAGTTGGTGTCGCACTACCTATACAGGTACTTTTGAGTTTTGACATCTCTGGTTTTGCAATTTTTGATGCAGGACATGAATAAACTTCATGAACTATTCAGATTAAAATCAGATATATTTTACTAACATGAAACTTTGGGTCTGAAAGAATAATATACTTGCATTGGAAGAAATTTTGTCGGAGCTTTTAAGTCAAATTTTACATCATACTCTCCTTTTGAAATATTGGTCTACGAAATCCATTTTTTGCAGAAAGATCAAGACTTTATTCATGGAAGCTTTACTACTAATCCAGTTGTTTAATGTAGGTCAAGAATATCGGATTCACTGGGGTTTTCCGGTTGATATTCAAACCACTAGTTGCTGAGCTTCCTTGTTTTGGAGCGGTTTGTTACTCCTTGCGTCAAAAGGTGAGCTCAAATTATTCATATAATTTGGTTTTGAAGTTTTCGACAAACAAGTTTTCATGGACGTCAAATGGCCTGGTTCACACTTTTTGCTTTTATGTACTGTTTAAGGCTCACAGACTTGATGTAATAACAGACTAAACATTTTGATATGCATCTTCAATTTCGTTTTTGGTTCTGTTCTCATTCTTGCTTACCATATGGAAATGTTTCTCTTAAGTATTTTCGCTAGAGATAATCTTCGTTCTGATATTACGTTTATCCTGAATGTTTCTTCCTGTAGAAAAATCTGGATTTCACTCTCAAAGTTGTGGGTGGTGATATCTCGGCTCTTCCCGGAGTATCTGATGCCATTGAGGTCTGAAATGTCGTATGTTTTATTTCTTTCTTATCCAGGTGCAAATGAATTGAAAACGATAGAGTTATTCTTTACCAAAATTAATTCATTTCTCATGCCAAAATGAGATTCCTAAATTCTAATTGAGAACCCAGTATTTTGTGATACGACGAACTCTGAAACTGCAACTCCTTGATGTCATGCAATCTGCTTTGGACAGGGTACAATACGGGATGCAATTGAAGATTCTATTACTTGGCCTGTCCGCAAAATCGTTCCCATATTACCAGGAGACTATAGGTGTGCCATTTTCCTAAACAACACTATACTCGTTGCTTGACTCTTTTTTTTTTTAACCACTCGATAGTAAAGATTCTCTTTTGTTTGAAAATGCGAGCTTAATTTTAATCTGGAATAACATACCTAAGAAAAATGAGATACTACTGTTCCAGATTATATATTCCGAGAGAACGGTGAAATAGTTGTACCCTTAAATTGATCTTGCACTGCCCACTATAACTTTTGCAACCTCTTGCTCCACCACAGATTCACAGCCCATTTTTTTCTTCTAACCAATCTTCTGGCGGAAAGTTAACTGCTTCTCGACTTGTTTCTCAAAAAAAAAAAATGCGAACTGCTGCTCGACCTGAAATACTAAGGGTGAGGAGGAGGACCTTATTTCCATTAAAAATGTTCTCTTTTCTTTTTGTAGTGACCTGGAACTAAAGCCGGTTGGTATATTACAAGTCAAGCTCATCGAAGCCAAAGAGTTGACTAACAAAGACATCATTGGGAAGTCTGATCCTTTTGTTGAGTTGTTTATACGTCCACTACGTGACAGGACAAAGACCAGCAAAGTTATTGTAAGAGAACTTCCATCTATTATTGTCCTTCTTAATTTATTTATCTCCTGATGAGGAATATTTAACTCCAGATTTTGTTTCCTTTGTTAAGGATAACTGCTTAAATCCAATCTGGAACGAGCACTTTGAGTTCATAGTTGAAGACATATCCACTCAACATTTAACAATTAGAGTTTATGATGACGAAGGGATTCAGGCTGCTGAATTCATTGGTTGTGCTCGAATAGATTTGAAAGACCTTGAGCCCGGTAAAGTGAAGGATGTGTGGCTGAAACTGCTGAAGGATCTGGATATACAAAGGGACAACAAAAACCGAGGACAGGTAAGAATATGTTGATATTTGTTTCCCAGCAGTCTTGTGGATTAGAATCTTGGGCGGACGTAGTGTAGTAGTTACTAGTTCGGATGAACCCAGTAGCTTTTGCTTAGATCCTGTATTTGTATTAGAAAATCCATTAAATATATAGAAATATTTAATTGCAATAGTAACTAAACCGAGCTAGGATCCAGTAACAAGTTCAGAACCCAGTAACAAGTTCAGAACCCAGTAACAAGTTCAGAACCCATAACCTTCAAATCCTGACTCCGCTCTATTTAAAATACATCAAATCATAGTGGACACTCAATTGGGAGCTTCATTATGGAGAAGTAGCCGTGCCTGCCTCGCTATATTACCAATTAGCTTGGCGCTCCCTGAAAATATTCCTGAATATTATTAAGATGAACTCAATGGAATCCAACCAAAAACGAACGTAAGAATGCATCATCCACAATTGACTTATTTGTTCTTTCTTTAAAAAATATAAGAAGAGCCATGTCTTGCTCACCTTCGTACCCAAATTCTTAGCGGCTGAAAGCCTTCAGACCTCCTAATGCTTTCCATTCTGTGTCTCCTATTATCATATTTAATCTGATAGGAAAATAAATCCATCAATCAGTAGATACAGTCTTCAAAAATATAATTAAAGAGAACTTGTAAAACTTGAAGTATGACCAACATTGACTTACTGCTAAGAACAATTCTTTTTTCTTTTTAATTCTCAGTGTCACTGGAACAGAAGGCTTTTACATTATAATACCGGTGTTTCAAAAGGCTAGCAGAATATATTAAGGGAGAAACAAATAAAAAGATATTCCCGCTGTCCCAAAAAGGATGATTCTTTTCGGATTTCGAGAATCAAACTTCTTAACTTTCACCGTGAAATCGGACATAGAGTATTTATGTTCTTTTTATATAAAAAAAAAATATATATATATATATATATATATATATATATATATATATATATATATATTTGGAAACTGCATAAAAAGTATTATAAGTCACAATAACTAACAATTTAAAATATTTAAAAGAGTATATGAAAAAGTCGTAGTCAAAGAACAACTCGTTTGACTCTCGAAATTCGAAAAGTATCATCCTTTTTGGGACAGAGGGAGTAGTTGTTTAAGCATAAAATATAGATAAAGTCCGATAAACAAGTATGTGTACTTTTTATTGGAGTCGAGCTCTATGTATTATGTAGAGGTTAATTTTTTCTGTTTTTTTTTTCATTTTTGTCATACATCATGTTTGCATGTTTGCGTCCGCGTTGAATGCTTGCCCATGCTACATGGTCTCCGCATACACTCCTCAGAACACATAAGAGCATTCTTGTCTGCACAACAATGCATGCATGGAATATTAATCAATCCTATTTTCTTGTCAACTAAAACAGGTTCATTTGGAGCTTCTCTTCTGTCCTTTTGGTATGGATAGTGTGTTTATGAAGGGCTTTAAACCCGACTACGCACTAACTACCTTGGAAAAGGCCCTTAGACCAGAGTCAGCTAATTTTTCACAAGCGGTCTCTGAGAAGAAAGGGGACATCCTCTTTAGAGGAGTTCTTTCCGTGACAGTAATATCAGCAGAAGACGTACCCGTTACTGATCTAATGGGGAAGTCTGATCCTTTTGTTGTACTAATTATGAAGAAATCTGAACAGAAAAATAAGACCAGAGTAAGTTTGGATGTCACATTTTCTTCCCCTAATTTGTCTGATATTTGATTATAAATCACAGTCTTCTTACTTTTGCCGTAATCATATGTTTTTTGCTAATCTCAGGTTCTAAACAACACTCTTAATCCAGTGTGGAACCAGACATTTGACTTTGTAGTTGAAGATGGATTACATGATTTGCTCATATTGGAAGTTTGGGACCATGACACATTTGGGAAGGTATATTCTTTCTGGACCATCATTTTTCGTCTGCTCAACTTTTAAGCTTGTAAGGCTGTGTACAATAGACCCTTGTGGTCGGGCCCTTCCCTGGACCCCACGCATAACGAGAGCTTAGTGTACCGGGTTGCCCTTTTTCAATTGTTAAGCTTTTGTTTCCTTTGCGTATGTCAGGATAAAATTGGTAGATGCATCATGACTCTCACAAGAGTTATACTAGAAGGGGAATTTAAAGATACATTCACTCTCGATGGTGCAAAGTCCGGGAGATTAACCGTTCATCTTAAATGGACACCACAACCAATAATTCGAGATTGATTCATTTGTGATTAGATTTCGGGAGAACAATTTTTTCTTTTCCCCGAAGAGTATATATGACATTTTACAGGAAATGCTACCTCTAAATGGAAATGAGAGTGAAAAAGGCAGAGCTTTCAAGTTTGTCATCAGGAGCAAAAAATCTACTGATGAAAAAAGTCTCAAGATATTGTGCCCTTTCATATGCAAATATTTTGTTGTAATTACAATCTCAAAGCTAGTCTCTTTTTTTAGTTAAAACTTCAGCTTGTTAACAACTTCAAAGAGCTAGATTAATCTTAATCAACTTTTCTATACCAATTTCTCATCTATGTTGCTCGGACTCGGATACGAGTATCCGATGGGGTTGCGGATTTAGAGGTCGGATCCTTCATAATCTGAATATTAAGATTCGGGAGTACGGAACCAGGTAGGTATACTGGTGCAAGAATTCAGCTAAAATAATTCAAAATTCTAAAAATAGATCTATAAAAATATCCTAAAATATGAGAAGATGTTTTGTGTACTTAATTGAAGGTTGTGGTGCAACCAATAGTTCAATCTTTAATTTTGATAATTTCTCAAGTTGTAGGCACTAGCAGGCAGCAACTAAATTCAATCTTTCTATTATTTATTTTCCCTTAAATTTATCTATGGATTGTGGTCAAAGTACGATCTCGATTCACACCCGGTATGAATTCCACCCCTTTACCAATACGAGTGTTGTGTAGACGAGGGTATGGTGGCTAAAATAAGAGTCCACGCAACATAATATCTCATTATCGAGGTTGAGTTTTCTTGGAACCAATGTTTTATATTATATTTTACTTGTGCATAACACATTTTATCTGTAACAGCAACGACCATCGTTATACAAGTACAATCTTTGTAAAATTGCCTTGAGATAACAACATTGATTTTTCCCTTTCATTATATGTTATTTCTGATTGAGTGTACTAAATTTTCCACTTCTGTTTCTAGTAATCTATCTTCATATTTAAATAAGACATTATACTGCCATGAAAGCTACAACTGTACATTTCGATTTTTTTTTTTAAAATTCATTAGTTTTAGAATATGTATGTTCTTTAGATAGTCTAATAGTCTGTTTGGCCAAGCTTCTTCCGAAGCCAAAAGTGTTTTTTTTTTTAAAGTGATTTTTTCCTCAATTTGAGGTGGTTGGCCAAGTTTTTTTTTTTTTTTTTGTGGAAAAAAGTGTTTTTGGCTAGAAGTAAAAGTAATTTTTAAGAAGCAGAAACAGTTTTGACTTTTCTTCCTACCAAAAATACCCTTAGCAAAATATTATATATACAAAAATAACTTTACTTAATTTAAATTAATGGTAATATATAATGACTTTTGGGATAAACTTTCATATTTATTGAAATTTTTTTTATATATTTAAATTATCTCTAAAGAATAAAGTATTTCAATTTTATTTAAATTAAATAAAAAAATTAATTATTTTCTTTAAAAATAAATATTTGTAATCATTTAGCTACTTATATAATATTATTAAACAAATCTCTTCATGTTCTTATTCATAATTTGACGCTTAAAAGCACTTTTTGAAAAAGTTGGCCAAACATAAATATTATGGAAGTATAGTCCACCTAGTTATGGATTTATTGATATTGTATTAACTTATAAAAAGAAGTAAATTAATAAAATATGAATATCTGCTAAAGCTTTTAAATATTATATTTTCTTTTATAACATATTAACTTATTAAGTTTGGGAAATTTTTTGCTTAAACTGTTTTCTATAATATTCAAATCTATACTATATTAAAAACACGAATGCCCTTAGCGAAATGTCGTTCGCCTTTTTTACCCTTAAAAAATTAAGTTTATATTGGACAAAGTAGTAATTTAATTATCTTTTAATATTTTGGAATGGTAATTTAACTCATTTCCTAAAATTTAGGCCTTCAAAATCAATTAAAGATTGTGTACCAAATCCTTCCTTATTTAAGCTATGTAATATAACATATCTGTAAAAAAGTGTACGTTCATTAACATGTAAAAATCTTTGGATGGAATACTTTCAATTCCTAAAGTCATATATAGGAGTATTAGGAAACGTATCAGCACTTTGGAATCCTTTTAGCTATAGGAGTCTCTCTTTTTTTTTAAACATAAAACACTAACCGATTATATTTCTATAAATATTTTATGCAAAAGTTTCGTTAAGTAATTATATATTTTTAAGGTTATAATCCATTTACTTTGGAGTTTTATTAATATACGTTTGGCTAAAGGAAATGGAGGACGAGGATGTGAATCGGAAAAAGATAAAAAAAACATATACCAAATTATTTCTCTTAGGTAAAAACAAATATATATATATATATATATATATATATATATATATATATATATATATATANCCCTTAAAAAATAACTTTTATAATGGACAAATTTGTAACTTCGGTTAGTTTCCTAATATTTAGGACTTTGAAATTTATTAAAATTTTGCATATTAAATCTTTCCTTATTAAAATAGGTAGAAAGTACTAATATTTAGGAGTTTAAAATTAATAAATAGTTTACCTTATGTAAATTGTACTAACTGACAATACATCCTTTGTGCAATACGTATAAAATCAAGATGACAACAATGGCGACTTCAATTAATTTCTACTTAAAAATGAAAAAAAGGAGATAAAATCACATACATTAAATTAAAATTATTTAATACAATAATGTCTAACTAAAATTATTTCAATGCATTATAATTAAATATGTATTTTAAGTATTCTTATTTAATTATAGAAAGTAAATAATTCATGTTCAATTAAGCACCTAAATTATTATTTAATATCATATTTAATTATAACAAATTATACAAACCTATTATCTATATTTATGTATATCTATTTATCTATATCTATACTATGTTAAAAGCACGAAGGCCCCTAACGAAATGTCATTCGTCTTTTCTACCCTTTTAAAATAGAGTTTATATTGTACAAAATTGTCATTTGATTATTTCCTTAATATTTAAGAATAGTATTTATTTTTAATATAAAAATTTCTTTGCATATTATTTATACACAAGATTTTACTTACATAAATCATTCCTTATTTATTAATATAACATAATCCCTTCCATATTCTTTTACCTAATTTTATATCTATCTATCTATACTATACTATACTACTATATTAAAAGCACAAAGTTTTTTAGCTAAATATTGTTTGCTTTTTTTACCCTTTTAAAATAGAGTTCACACCAGACAATATAGTCTTTTATTATTACCTTAATATTTAAGAATAGTCATTTAATAATTTCCTAATAAGAAATCTTTACTTATTTGAAGTAGATTCTAAATTTGATCTTTGAATACCACACATATTCTTGCTTGGACAAAAATCATCCCTCTTTAGCGTGATTCTATTATTAACTTTAATATATCTCTAATCTTTCACCTTAACAAAGGCACTAAAATATAGTCATAATTCAATAGAAACTTTATATTCATAGGGATCTTAATATATTAAATCCATGTTATATTCCACAATAAAGTCGCCAAAGTGATCCTTGGAACAAATTAGAATGTAAAATTAAATATGTTTCAAACAACGATAGAAAATAGACACTAACTATTATATTAAGAGGCTTTTAGAAGTTTTGAATTAAAAATTAAAATATAAAAAATAGAAAAATTAAAATGGAAGGGTTTATAGATAAGCCTTTTCAACTGAAACTATATATATTTTAAGAATAAATATAACATGTTTGTATAACTATTAAAAAAAATATTAATTAACATGGAACGGTTTATAATACAAGCTTATTATATTTAATAGTAAATTATACGATTTTCTGAAAAGTTATCGACTTAGTTACACGCGCAACGCGCGTACCTTAAGATTAGTAAGATTAAAATACCAAATGCTAATATATATGTATAATGGTTATTCACTGTAACATCCAAAATATGTCCGGAGAAATGACACGATTCAAAGACAAATCGAAGTAATTGCTTCAACTAAGGTTTTCTAATAAATTTCAATTAAATGTTTGTTGTCCTATGGATAAGCAACTGAAGTTTGAAATAAGCAACCTTAATTAACAATGTTACTGGACATGTCATCGGGGGAGGAGCCAGAGTATCGGAAACGAGTTCGGCTGAACTCAGTAGCTTTGGTTCAAATTATAGTTAAATTCATTAAATATAGTTAAATTATTAAATTAGTACCCAGTAACTTAAAACGATTAGAATCCCGAACCCATAAACTTAAAATCCTGGCTCCGCCTCTGCATGTCATCGACCTTAGAATGAATGAACTTATAAAATGTGGATTAGTAAGATCTGTTTTAAAAGGATGTATGAAACTGAGGTCTGTTTCCTTACTACCACATCGAAAGAGAAGGCAATTCCAGGTGCTTACGCTACTATAAAATTCCACGCGAATACACTTTCAATTACCGCTCAGCCACCCTGTGAGCACAAAGCGGACTAGTTTTTCGCCAGCGCGCTGCAAACAGTGGCATACGCCTAATTTTGGAGGGTTTCTCTTCTTTGGGTTTCCCTACAATTCAAGTATAATGTTTAAAACTCGCTTTGAGGTTTTGTGTAAAATTGAATCCAGAATTTAAGTTTCATTGGTTGTTTTTAGGTGAATTCAAAATTTAAGCTCCATTGGTGGTTAGTTATGAATTTATATTGTGTACATATTTATTGCTCCCATTTATTATTATATTAGTCTTAGAGTACGCATAGCGCGTGTACCCTATATAAGTATGTAATCATAAATTTTTTTGCCTATATAACTTCTTATATTTTGTTTTTTTCTTAATTATTTTTCTTTATTTTTTTAATTACACTTAATTATATTATTATTCTAATTTTTCCACAAAGTTATACCTCGTAATTTTTAAAAGGCAGAATAGCCTCATAAACCCTATACTTATTTCAGTTTGTCATCCCGGTCCCTGTATTTCACGAAATTTCACTCGAACACTTGTACTCGATCAAAATAAATAGTTTAAACCCCTCCTTATATGCGTGAGTCTCACTTGCGTTGACATGGATAACACATCAGATCCATGTCAGATGCATATATCCACGTCATCATCTTCTTCTTTGCAACTAAATTATCTTTCTCCTCCACGCCAATTTTGCACTTCACAATATTCTCTCCATTTTCAGAGCCTCCAGGAAATTCACCAAAAAATTCATTTGCTTCAACTTCTTTCTTCTTTTTTTTTTTTTTTTATTTTTTTTTTTACCATAGTTACTGCTTGTGAAACTATTAGATTTCAATTTTTCTGGTTAAGAAAATGGTTGCAAAAACAATAAGGCGGCA